GTCTTAAAATTATAGAAAACTTCATCTCCCCTATTTATTTACTTACTAGCCCTTCCTCTTAGCTTCTCATGCCATAAATATTTGTTCCTTCTTTTCCACACACTATTATGTGTGTGGAAAAGAAGGAACATCGCCACGGTCTAAATGCTGTGGGCGATGATAAAGAACTTATAGCTAGTTTGAGAAAAGGCCTTCTTCTCAAATCAATGTTTAAAGCAGAGAACAGGCTGGGAGTGGTAGCTCATGCCTATAATCCCAGCACTTTGGGAGGCCGAGGCAGGCGGATCACCTGAGGTCAGGAGTTCAAGACCAGCCTGGTGAAACGCCATCTTTACAAAAAATATAAAATTAGCTGAGCGTGGTGGTGTGCACCTGTTATCCCACCTACTCAGGAGGCTGAGCCAGAAGAATCACTTGAACCCAGGAAGTAGAGGTTGCAGTGAGCCAACATCATGCCACTGCACTCCAGGCTGGGCCACAGAGCGAGACTCCACCGAGAGAGAGAGATAGAGAGATAGATAGATAGAGAGAGAGAGAGAGAGAGAGAGAGAGGAAGAAGAAGAAGAAGAAGAAGAAGAAGAAGAAGAAGAAGAAGAAGAAGAAGAAGAGAAAGAAAGAGAGAGAAAGAAAGAAAGAAAAAGAAAAAAGGGAGGAAGGAAGGAAAGAAAAGGAAAGGAAAGGAAAAAGAAAAGTAGAGAATGAAGTTTAAAATAAAACAAAATATAACAATCAGGCTGAGGGTGATGGCTCCCGTTTGCAATCCCAACACTTTGGGAGGCAGGAAGATTGCTTGAGCCCAGGAGTTTGAGAACAGCTTGGGCAACATAGCAAGACCCTGTCTCTTAAAAAAAAAAAAGAGAGAGAAAGAAAGAGAGATGGAAGAAGGAAGGAAGGGAGGGTGGGAGGGAGGGAAGAAGGGAGAAGGGGAAGGAAAGGAGGGGAAGGAAGGAAGAAATTATATTGAGCACGATGTGTCAGGCAGGTGCTGCAGTCTGAAAACACAAGGGTAAACCTGAGACAGTGTCCGTGATTTTGTGGAACTCGGGGTTCAGGGGTTAGCAGCAATGTGTTATTGAAGTTGGGGGACAACAGAGGAAGAGGAGTTGCTGATGAATGTGTAGATTCCTGGGTCCTATCCAAGAGATCCTGATTCTGTAGATTTGCGGTTTGGTCCAGGAGCCAGCATATTAATAGTTTCTCCTCTTGATTCAGAGACTTCTAAGCACTGAAGTTTGAGAATTATTGGATGAGTGGCTATAAATTAAAGAGGTTAAGGGGGCTACCTGGAAGAGGAGGGGCTTGAGCTGAGGGTCCAAAGTCATGTCCACAGGGCCCAGATCTTGTGGAAACTGGGAATTAAGGGCACCCCACCAGAAAATGACAACATCAAAATTTAAACCCTTCACTGGCTCACCCCAGCCCCTCTCCAGCCAATGCCTGTACACAAGCTAGGCTCACTGAAGTACTAACGCTGCAAGGTCAAGGTCCCCAAGTCTTTGCTCTTCCAGGTCCAAGGCCATTTCAAATGTCACTTCCTTTTTACTCCAGACACATAGGCTTGGGCCGATTTAATTGTTCCCTTATCTGCATTTCCAGAGCACTTTTTACATTTCTTTTTTGCGGTGCTAATCCTGTGTCAAATAACCTAAACTCAGATAACCCCAAATACTCTGGGATGGAAGGTGTTCATTCTCCCTCTTTTGCAGATGGAGAAACCTGCTGTTCAGTGAGGTAAGCCTTCGAGAGAGCAGCAGGGCACAGGGTGAAGCGCCTTGGTTAAAGCGACTTCTGCCAAGGTGGGTGAATCACCTCAGGTCGGGAGTTCAAGACCAGCCTAACCAACACGGTGAAACCCCATCTTTAAAAAATAAATAAATAAATAAAGTGACTTCTGTCACTTCTCAGCTGCAGGACCTTAGGAAGTTACTTATCCATGTGCATTTCATTTTCCTTGGCAGCACAATACAGGTGATAAGAAACAGAAACTGCCACCGAGCCAGGTTACGTGTCCTAGAAGAGTACCTGGCAAACGTAAGTGCTATGTAAATGGGTATTAAGCAATTAAAGTCATGTCATTGCAGTTCAAATCCAAGTCTTCAGATCATAAAGCTCCTAGATGCTTGTTCTATTTTAACTTTGTAGAACTTCAAGATTTCCTGAAAAGTAGTGGTTCTATCAGAAGCAGCAATGAAAGGAAGCTGGTTTGGGGCAAAAGACATTCAAGAGATGAGAGGAAGCGGCTGGGCACGGTGGCTTACACCTGTGTTCCCAGCACTTTGGGAGGCCCAGGTGGGCAGATCACCCGAGGTTGAGAGTTTGAGACCAGTCTGACCAACATGGAGAAACCCTGTCTCTACTAAAATACAAAATTAGCCGGGCATGGTGGTGCATGCCTGTAATCTCAGCTACTCGGGAGGCTGAGGCAGGAGAATCGCTTGCACCCTGGAGGCAGAGGTTGTGGTGAGCCCAGATCATGCCATTGCACTCCAGCCTTGGCAACAAGAGCAAAACTCCGTCTCAAAAACAGACAAACAACAACAAAAAAGAGATGAGAGGAAGGAAAATGTTCCAGCAAACTGCTTTAATGAAGGTATAGACCAGGAAAGAGAGCAGGTGTCAGTTCTGACCCTGGGTCTAGAACACACACTGGTAACACATTCATGCAAGAACCACCAGGGTAGACCTTGGGAACTTAGCCCCTCTGGGCCCCTTTACATGTCTTTCCTCTTACGTCAGTTGTGGGTTAGATATTTGGGCCACTGGGATGATGCAGTACAAAGACTGCCTGCAATCCACAATTCTGCAAGATGGTGCCATTGACAAATGGAAAAGGTCAATTACTGCGCTTTGTTGAGCATGACAAAAATATTGGCTGATTTCTCGAATCTTAACGTATATTGTGCTACAATGGGAATTAAGTACAAAGTTTACATTTCCAAAGCAATGATCATTTGTAGTTTTACTTAATACTGCTTATAGGATAACTGCATAGATAAATCTGTTACCATTATTATTACTGTAAATATGGCTTAAAATGGTGAATTAAATTGTGATTGATTTGGGAGATGATGTGCAAAACAAATGAGTGATGAATATATGTGAAAGTTTTCAGTTTAGGGACCAAGGGTAGACGGTATCTACATGTGGATGAGTTTCAGTGGTTAACCTTTGTATCAAATATTAATAACCTGGAATGCTTGATCTTCCTAATTGGGAGATGTTTTAGAATAGCCATTCTCAAACTTAAGCATGAGTCAGAATCGTCTTTCAGCCTTATTAAAACACAGGTGAGGCACGATGGCTCACACCTGTAATCCAATACTTTGGGAGGCCTAGACAGGTGAATCATTTGAGTCCAGGAGTTCAAGACCAGCCTGAGCAACATGGGGAAACCCAGTTTCTACCAAAAATACAAAAGTTAGCCAGGCATGGTAGTGTGAGCATGTAGTCCTCAGCTACTACAGAGGCTGAGGTGGGAGAGTTGCTTGAGGGCAAGAAGTCAAGGCCACAGTGAGTCATGATCATGACACTGCACTCCAGCCTGGGTGACAGAGAAAGATCTTGTCGCAGAACAAACATATACCCCACAAATTGTTGAACCCCATCATCCCCAGATTTTCTGATTTAGGGTGTCTGGAGGGGGAGCCCTTGAATCTGTTTCTTCATAATAATAAGTTCCCAGGTGGTGCTGATTCTGCTGGTCCCCAGAAAGTTTGAGAACAATTGAGTTAGAACAAATATCCCCTTGCTGGTAGCGCCTTTCCACCCCCTGAGCTGGAATGCAACGTAACTGGATTTGTTTTAAATAAGCCACCTTAAGCAGTCAAATTTCCCAACCACTTTTTAGCATTTTACAGACCAAGAGAGCCATCACTTCATTATTTCTCCTCTAGAAGAAAAAAAAATCATTTGTCTCTCTGTCCTGGGATTTAAAAAAATTAAAAATAAAAATGATCACAAACCTTAGGAAGATTTTTTTTTTTTGAGATGGAGTTTCGCTCTTGTTACCCAGGCTGGAGTGCAATGGCGCGATCTCGGCTCACCACAACCTCCGCCTCCTGGGCTCAGGCAATTCTCCTGCGTCAGTCTCCTGAGTAGCTGGGATTACAGGCACGCGCCACCATGCCCAGCTAATTTTTTGTATTTTTAGTAGAGACGGGGTTTCACCATGTTGACCAGGATGGTCTCGATCTCTTGACCTCGTGATCCACCCGCCTCGGCCTCCCAAAGTGCTGGGATTACAGGCTTGAGCCACCGCGCCCGGCCAGGAAGATCTTAAAGGAATCTTATAGTTAACTGTAGCCTTGACTGCATGTTTCTTATGTTTTAATAACTAAACGCATTTAGACTCCTTGCATCTAGCAGTACTCTAAGGAAATAATTGAAAAACATCTTCCTTTAAGTTTGTCCTTCATTGGGACCCTCCTGGGCTAGAACACTTTGAGGTGATGGCCAGCAGGTGGCGCTCTGCGTCAGTTCATGGGGCAGCCTGACTCGGGTCAAGGCAAATACACAAACCAAGGTGCTTGCTCTAAATCCTCAAAGTAAAGGTCCTCTTAACCACTTGTCATAAAACACCCTGAGACACCCGTCTTGGAAAATCGAAGTGTCAAGCTCAGCATCTCTGCCACATTTCAAACTAGGTAATTACCTTCTCTCCCAAAGGGAATCTGCTTTATGTATTTGTGTCCTTTCTAGGTTACAAGTTTCCCAAAGGCAATGATCTTGCCTTCCAGTCCCTCCACACAATGCTGAAGTGAAATGCATATTTTACACTAACAGTTTAATTATTCTACATCCCTCTGAGCTACATGATGACCTGTTATATAATTGCCAGTAATATAGAAATGTGCCTGCCTCACACAAACCCTTGCAACACATAGAAGTTTTTATTTGACCTAAGAGTAAATTGCATATTTGCTTCTCTTTTACAACAGAAAACACAGACCATTTCTCCGCCATCCCAAATTATAAGTCGAAAGCAAATAAACAACACTGCATTTCAGTCTGTCATTTTTATTAAGTCTGCAGAGCTGGTTTTTTTTTTCCTACACACGACAAATACTTTGATATAATCTAGGATAATAAAATAGTTGAACAACTTTTTTTTTAAGATTTATATCTGTATAGAAACAATCTGTGGAACTCCCCACCTCAAAATGAAGGTGTCTAAAAACAGTGATTCATCCGCATTGCTTTAAATCATTGTTTGGTTAAAAGTTGTGGTTTCCATTCTCAACCAAAATGTGTCTCCATGTGTTTTTCCTCAGGTCCAAATCTTAAGGCCTTGGGAAGGTGGCCCAGAAAAAAAAGAATGGCCACTCTCCTCTCTGTCCTTCCCTCGTGTGGAGGATGGTGATTAAAACAGGGGTGTTACACAAGCCAGGAAGGAAAGAAATCAATTGCACGTCTCTAGTCTGCAAGCATCAAAGTCACAAGTCTTTACACAACAACTCCCTATCTGTAGATATGAAACCATCATGATAGCACAGTGCCTGCTTGTCCCTAAATGCTCCTTTCTTCTGCCAATCATGTCAGTTACTATGGCTGGGCTGTGGCCATAAGTTCTCCCTAAGGGCTGGTCCTTCTGTCACCTTGAAGTGTCAGCCCTTGCATTATGCCACTTGGATGCTATGTCTTGGTACCCAGTAAGGGTCTACCATCCCCTAAGAAATCCCTCACCCCACCCTCAAACCCCCAAAGTGCCTATGAGTAAAGACGCCATGGAGACGGTGTCTCCAGTGAACACCTCCCCAAAGATGCCTGGGGGGACTTGCGCCTATATCATCCCATTGATCTTAGTCCACTCGTAGATGTCCTGTTCGCACACTATGTCGGAGTTGATGAGGAGGTATCTGTCGCCTACACAGAAGTGCTTCTGACAGGCAGCACATTTGAAACATTCCAGGTGATATACTTTGTCTTTCACCCGCATCGTCATCTCATAGGCACGAATCCGCTTGTCACAGGATGCACAGAGACCATCTTGCCCAAAAAGCCTGGGGCAAAAGAAAGAAAAGCTAAGAAGGAGTGAAAGGGACAATCCTGGAAGGCAGGGCTCGGAGATGAGCCCCAGAAAGGAGGCTGGACTTTCAGGATGTCAGGTAGCCTGGAAAGGTCGGATCCAGAAGGAAGGCCGGCTAGTGCAGTCTTTCCCAGGAGGCAGAGCAAACCCAGATGAAACTGGCATTTGAATCTGGCAAAAAAAAGCCCCTATCCGCAGCAACCGTTCCACATTCCGCTAGGCTGCCCCTTGGCTCCTCCTCTGTGGGGGAGATTCTCAGCTGATGTGATCTACGATAAGGAGTTAGGCAAGTATTACCTGTCCCCTCCCAGGGGAACCCTCATTTCAGAAGAGCAGCTGGAGTGAGACCCACGGGGCCCCTCTGAGAGGATACTGACCAGGACTGCAATAAAATGGGCATTCTTCTGAGGCTCCCAAACTCTATCATGTCAACAGCTGCTGATGCTACCCATGGGGAGAGCTGGCCTTGAATATCTCCATAAGCTGCAAAGCACATCTCCACCTAATTATTCACTGGGGCCCCAGCTGCTGGGAGATGGGGAGTTCCACAGAAAACATGTGCTGCAGCTCATCGTGCCTCTGAGATATGGAGGACAAACAGGAGCTCTCCACCATGAATGGAAGATCTTAATTCATGGTCCTTGCTGCCCCACTGGCATGAGTCAAAAGGGAAACTTCTTTTCTGACATTTAAATCAAGACTCTCCCAAGCCTGTTCATCAGTCACTTATTTCAGGCAGTATTCAGTGTCAAGGGGGAGACAGAACATGGCAGGGCTCAGTACATGGTTCTCAAAGCTTTGGTCCTGGGACCAGCAGCACCCACACTGCCTGTGAACAGGTTAGAAATACAAATTCTCAGGCTGGGCCCAGTGGCTCACGCCTGTAATCCCAGCCCTTTGGGAGGCTGAGGCAAGTGATCACTTGAGCTCACTAGTTTGAGATCAGTCTGGGCAACATGGCAAAACTCTGTCTCTACAAAAAAATCAAAAAATTAGCCAGGTGTGGTGGTACATGCCTGTAGTCACAGCTATTCATACTTGGGAAGCAGAGGTGGGAGGTGGAGGTTGCAGTGAGCTCTACCCCACTCAGCTGTTAGAACGACCAAATGAAGCATATCAGGGCACCCGTGGTCAAGGGTTACACCAACGTGGGTGCATTCCCAGCGGCGCCAGTCTTGCTGCCGGAAGCAATTTTCACTCGTGGCTGAAAACATAGCATATTAGCAGGTGGTTTCTACATAAAACCTTTAGGACAGTTTCAGGTGAATGTTCTTATTGGAAGTTCTGATTGATTTCAGGATATCAGAGAATCAATTGCTACATTCTGAGAGGTTGTAGGGGATGTAGGGCAGTTGACACATTTTGTAATATTTGGGCAAAATTAATGGAATTGAGAAGAGGTGGTCTGTGAGTAGAGAGCTCATTGTTTGGTCCAGGGCCAGCTAATCTTCCTCTGAATCCTGCTTCCCATTTGAAGATCTCCGAGTGTTTTCAAAGCACCGCCTGGGAGCAAACTCATTACTTGGGTAGAACATTTTATCCCAACGTAGCAGATGGTGGAGCTGCAGGTGACCGCCACATTGGAGGTCACAGAGTGGAAAGACAGTTCTGGTTTCTGTTCAGTAAGTTAAGTTTGGGCCTGAGCAAGGATGAATGACTGGGAAACAGTGTGCATGGAATGAATCCAACTGCCTGGGGTGTGTGATCCTTACGGAAGAAGGGAGCTTATTAAAGGGAAGTCAGGGGGTAAATTACAATCCACATAGGGCAGCTAATGAAGGGAAGGACAAAGGATGAGTATGTGGGAGACAAGTTCAGGTCTGAGCATCACCTCTAACTGGCCAGGTGACCTGAGCAAATGGCATCCCCTGGACAGGCTTCTGTGACTTAAGCTGTAAAGCAAGGGAACTGAAAGAGTAGCCCCCTGCAGCCCCTTCCAGCTCTGGGAGGCTGAGATTCTAATATGAGTAAAAAATCAACCAGGACTCAACGCCTAACTTGAGCATTAACTTCCGGCACCAAGAATTGGTATCTTAGGCTGGATATCCCAGAAGCAGCCCCCAAGGCAAGGATTTATGTGCAAGTGCTTTATGAATGATGCATTCTCAGGAAAAACCTAGAAGGCAGCAGGGGAGGCTGGAGGAAAGGGAATGAAGCCAGGCCAAGTTGCAACTTCAGGCAAAGTCCCTCGGAGGGGAGGGACCCTGGAATATAAGTTATGCCTGGCTTCAGGCAAGGCTGCAGGGCTTGGTACTCCCACCACGTTTGTCATTGGTTAAGGTCTGCTGGGGGTCTAGTCGGGGCAGGCACACTTCTAGCTCTAACAGATGCAGGTGCTGGCTGTTAGAAGTAAAACCACTGCCATCACCACCAGCCCACCTCTCCCAGCATACAAACTGGTGAAAAGGGATCCAAGGAGATCTGGCTCAGCACAGACATGAACAGCTGCTCTGCGGTTCCCAACAATAGAATACGGTGGCAGAGTTGAGGTTCTGCACAGGGGCCTCATGAATATTTGAAGTTGATGTCTGAAAAGAACTGTAACATGCAACTCAGCCACTGGAAATCCTCAAGGGGACAAATTATCCTGGGGTGAAGAACTCAACCCCAGAAGAGGGTCTGTTCAGCCACTCTTCCAACTTGCCTTGTTAAAAGCTCCTGCCGGATCACCTGAGGTCGGGAGTTCGAGACCAGTCTGATCAACATGGAGAAATCCCATCTCTACTAAAAATACAAAAAGATTAGCTGGATGTGGTGGCAGGTGCCTGTAATCCCAGCTACTAGGAAGACTGTGGTAGGAGAATCACTTAAACCCGGGAGGCAGAGGTTGCGGTGAGCCGAGATTACGCCATTGCACTCCAGCCTGGGCAACAAGAGCGAAACTCCGTCTCAAAAGAAAATAAAATAAATTAGCTCCTGCCAGATATACTAAGAATCCAAGTAAACAAGACCATGGCTAAAGGACCATCTCTGAAGCAAAAGACAATTTTTCTCCTCGGTCAAGAGGTGTCCCATTTTAAGCTCTCTGCTGCCCATTTTAATAACAATAATATAAATATTAAAGGATGGCTGGAAATGCCCGCACTAACACAGAGTTAATTAACATGTTGTCTAGGAATATGGCAGGAGAAGAATTATTTCATGTCACCAAGACAAAAGTTAATTAACATTGGGTTCTTCCAGGCTGTTTTTTTTTTTCCTCTCCTTTTTGAAAATAGAAAGGATTAACAAGCCCAGGCAGCACTGGTTTTATTCTTGAGTGTTATATAAAACGGTAGAGATAGGGAGAAGCCGGGCTCCTCTGACCTTACTCTATCTGCACTTCATTTAATAAGATTCAAATGATTTGACAGGGATGGAGTCAAGGGTCCGATGGGAATCATTTATCCGCCTCGTCTGCCTCCTCACTGACTTGGCAAACTGGGAGTGAGCAAAACCAGGTTTCTATTTATCCCAGTTCTATTCTTTGTGACTTAAAAACAAAGGAAACTGACCACAATTATAAATATGATCATTGAAAAACCCTACTTATTTTCTTGGAACCACCATATCTACAAGGACTTTATCTGGGAATTCGAGAAGGGGAAAAGCTTATTCCATCAGTCTTCAGGTAAATGAATAAGCTTCCTTCACTGTGAAACTACCTGCAGTTTTTTGGTTTGGTTTGGTTTCTGTTTCTGTGACGTAAAATGCTCCGAGGGCAGGTTTGGGAGGAAAAGCTGGCCCAGTAGCCAAGGGCGCTAAGATCTCAACAAGCTTCCATGGGTTGGATGGTCCTGATGTGTCAGGGAAGCATGCTTCACACAGCCTCTGCTCCAGGAAGACGGAGACATACTGACAGCTACACAGCTGAGCAGATCTGACAGTAGCGGGCACAGAGAGTTACCTTCACTGCAGCTCATAGGAAACTAGAAATGCTAATACATTCTAGGCAAAGGCATTCACAGAGTGCTGGACAATTCGGATGGCCAATAGGATGGCCCAGAGCATGGGAGATGTCCTCAGCTCCTGTCTTTTTTTTTTTGAGACAGAGTCTTGCTCTGTGGCCCATGCTGGAGTGCAGTAGTGCAATCTCGGCTCACCGCAACCTCCGCCTCCCAGGTTCAAGTGATTCTCCTGCTTTAGCCTCCTGAGTAGCTGGGATTACAGGTGCGTGCCACCACACCTGGCTAACTTTTTGTATTTTTAGTAGAGATGGGGTTTCACCATGTTAGCCATGATGGACTCAATCTCCTGACCTCATGATCCACCCACCTTGGCCTCCCAAAGTGCTGAGATTACAGGCATGAGCCACTGCCCCTGGCCCTCAGCTCCTGTCTTACTTGACATTGTCAAATTCCTATTTTACCCTTCCATTCTTCCATCCCTTTGCTCATTAGATTTGAAAATAATGATTATGTCACAAGGATAAGTTATAAGAGCAGCTAACACCTATTTGATCCATACCAAGCCAAGCCGTTTATCTGCACTATTTCATCAAATCCTCCCTATGTCTGCAGAGCTAGGTGGTCCTATCATCCCCAGCTTACAGATGAGGAAATTGAGGCTTAGGGAGGTTAAGTCACTTGCCCAAGGCCACCAAGCTGGGAAGCAACGGTGTTGGGGCTCGAACTTCCAACTGACTGCAGGGCCTTTGCCCTTATGCCCTTTGAAGACTGCCTTCCTGCTATGAGTCAATGCTTGGGGCTCCATATGCTTCTATTTTTAAATTTCTCATCATGTAATACTGCAGTCATACAAAAGAATATTTGTCGCGTGTGTGTGTGTGTGTTCTGAAGCATTCAAATGAGCCCCTCAGAGCCCAACTCCAACCTTAGAAACACCCCCAGTGCCTAGGATCCTCTGTGCATACTCCTCCTCAGCCCTATCCCCTGGCCTCTTCCACTCCCTGAGGGAACCACACTTCCAAATTTTGTGTGTACAATTCTCTTGCCTTTAAAGATATTAGTATTTTACCACATAGGAACATAACCCTGAGAACATGATTCTCAAACAGGAAGAAATGCTCACTGCTTCTCAGCACGGGAGCTAAGACAGCCTCTGCAGCCTGACCTCACTGTATAGGTGGTGTCTGAGCCTGGAGCAGGGTCAGGGCAACATGCACAGACTGCAGATGTCCATGACCACCCAGCCTCCCCCCCAAGGGCTGCAGAGGGGTGCCAGGGAGGGTACCTGAGATAGTCTCTCCGGCAGAGCTTCCGGCCCAGTTTGTAGTAGAGGCGCCGCCCCACCTCGCCCAGCCGGCAGCCACAGAGGTCGCAGCTCAGGCAGTCCTCATGCCAGTACTGGTCGATGGCTTTCAGGAAGTAGCGGTCCCCAATGTTCTGCTGGCAGCCGCCGCATGTCAGCAGGGACGGGGGGATCTGCAGCACCTCATCCACTGGTTCCCTGGAGAGAAGGCCAAGCATCAGGGACAACCTCACCAGAGGGAGACCAGCACCGAGGGGCCGAGATTAGTTTGGGCCAGACAGGGCACCTCATCTGACTGCCTGTTGGTGACCTAAGGGAGAAGGGACGGTACAATATATCCATTGGCCAGACTGACTGCAGAGACCCAGCCCACCCGGGGTAAGACAGGAGAGAGCTAGACCTTATGCCCTAGATCTCTAAGAAGTAACCACAGGGCACCAAGAGGCATGAAAGGCAACTGCAGGTGGCACTGTGCCCCAGCCCATGCCCAGCACCACCTGGGCACCTCTGGTCTCCTTCTGCTCTTTCTCACTCTCCCCGCTGACCTTCCCTCTCTATCTTCACAGAGCTCCCTTGGTTTTCTCCTCCTATATCCTGGACCCAAGGGCACTGCCTAACCTCAGAGGAGGCACTCTGGACTCAAAGAGTCACTCACCACCAGGGCAGCCGATGACCCAGAGTGCTAAGAATCTGCAAACCCCATTTAATACATTTCCATGCCCCTCCAGCCCTTCCAACCGCTCAAAAGCAGAGGTGAGGAAGAAGAATGAGACCAAAAATTATTTTAGGTTGCTTTCTCTTGCCAAATTAAAAATTCCTTCAGAATATAATAGGAATTCTCCTAATTTTATTTTATTTTTTACAGATATTCCATTTTCGATTCTTTCTACTGAAGGAATTCTTGGAGGAAAACCCCAGACTGTAAGGCCGTTGTTATATTTATGAAGAACATCAAATAGGCCTGTCCTTCCTCACCTGAACATTTTTATATTAGTAAAACTGATTTGGATGAAGTTGATTTAAGGAAGAAAATGAAGAGGGGGCAATGATTATTTCAGAGAATAGAACGCATTTAAACAGACAGTGACATCTCAAACCAGCAGTCGTTAGTAGGCTGTGGCGTGTGTTTTTCGTTAACATGCCATGCATAGTATCTCCTGCCTACTTGGCTTCACTGGAATCTCAATACTCTTTTACATTTAAAAGTCAATAACTTTGCCAAAAGAAAATGAAGGAATGGAAGGAATGATTCTAGTGTCCCCCAAATGGGACATGGGAAACACTTAATACTTACTTATTTGTAATAATTAGCAAATGTTCTCTGGAACCTTACTTAAACACAAATCTGTTTCTTAAAAATCTATTATGTTTCAAAAAAATGGACTTTCTTCCAACTGTAAAGGACTTTCTTCCTGGATACACTGCAGGTATAAATCTGTGTCTCCCTCCCTTTCTCCCTTCCTCCCTTCCTTCCTTCCTTCCTTTCTCTCTCTCTTTCTTTTTTTCTTTCTTTCTTTGAGTTTCGCTCTTGTTGCTCAGGCTGGAGTGCAGTGGCAGGATCTCAGCTTACTGCAGCCTCCACTCCTGGGGTTCAAGAGATTCTCCTGCCTCAACCTCCTGAGTAGCTGAAATTACAGGTGCCTGCCACCACAGCCAGCTAATTTTTGTATTTTTAGTAGAGATGAGGTTTCGCTATGTTGTCCAGACTGGTGTCAAACTCTTGACCTTGTGATCCAACCGCCTTGGCCTCCCAAAATGCTGAGATTACAGGTGTGAGCCACAGGGCCCGGCCTGTGTCTCCTATTTCTAACTGGCACTAACTTACCAGGTGACCTTGTGTCCTAATTAGTCTGTATCCAAAAAGCCCAGCAGCCATTATATTTGGAGACAGGAGACTCAGGTGGCTCAATGTCTATAATACTCTGACAACTTGAGGTGATTCTGTCATGCAAAGTATGAAGTACTCCCTATGAATATTTAGGAGTACCAAAGCCATGTCCACACTTTGTAGATACAGTGTAACTGGACTTCATGAGATTATCATCTTTAGAACAAGTAAATGTAAAGTTCAAGCTAGTTTATCTGGGGGGAAAAAAATGGCCAGGCACAGAGGCTCACACTTGTAATCCCAGCACTTTGGGAGGCCAAGGCAGGAGGATCACTTGAGCCCAGCAGTTTGAGGCCAGCCTGGGCAACATGGCAAAACCCTGACTCTACAAAAAACATAAAGAATTGCCCAAGCTTGGTGGCATGAGCCTGTAATCCCAGCCTCCCAGGAGGCTGAGGTGGGAGGATCACCTGAACCCAGAAGGATGAGGCTACAGTGAGCACTGCATTCTAGGCAAGACAATACAGTGAGACCTTAGCTCAAAAAAAAATCAGGACTGCATTTATTTATTTACTTATTTATTTATTTATTTTTGAGACAGAGTTTCGCTCTTGTTACCCAGGCTGGAGTGCAATGGCATGATCTCAGCTCACTGCAACCTCCGCCTCCTGGGCTCAGGCAATTCTCCTGTCTCAGCCTCCTAAGTAGCTGGGATTACAGGCATGCGCCACCATGCCCAGTTAATTTTTTTGTATTTTTAGTAGAGACGGGGTTTCACCATGTTGACCAGGATGGTCTTGATCTCTTGACCTCGTGATCCACCCGCCTCGGCCTCCCAAAGTGCTGGGATTACAGGCGTGAGCCACCGCGCCTGGTGACTGTAGTTTTAAGAATTCACTGAAGGCTTGCTTTCTTTCCCTTGTTTCTACAGATTGTATATAAGGACTACCATTCTCCCTTCTAATAACTAATACCCTGGCTTTTTCACGTGTATCAACTGGGAATTGCATCTCTTCTCTTTCCACAGCCCATGGTCTTACTCTGGGCTTTCCAAACCACTCATGGAACCTTGACTACATTGGATGCTGCCAAAGGACTGTGAAAGAGGAGAATTTGCCCTTAGCTGGTGCAAAACTGCCTGGAATTCAAATGAACTGCTCTTGGTACTCACGGGAGGCAGCGGGGGCCAGCAATGGCATAGCAAGGGAATCTCTGTGTTCATGAATTCTGGCTGGCTTTCTGTCCAAATGTTTCATTTGCATATAGCTAGGCAAGTCTCCATCTGTAATTTGGAGATGCTGACTGTAATAACCCAAGTTGGCTTTGAGGAAGTACACAATGAAGAATCTAGTAGGATACTGGACCACAGGAGGAACGTAAAGTAAATGAGTTATGGTGACGGCCTGAGATGAGATGGAGAAGTAAAGTGTAAGATATTGGCTCTGTCTTTCTATAATTAATTAATGATAATATCACATTATACTTAGTGGACAATCCAAGACAATGACTGAATGAGATTGATTCACCCTCAAATTAATATTTTATATTCTCCCAGAGCCTATCTTGAATATTATACCTGAATATCACTTCAGCCCGGATTTCTGGGATAATTTCATAACAATTTCTAAGGGGGTGGGGAGAATGCACTGCAGCAATTTCTCAACCAGCTTGTGCCTTTTTGATTAGAACCTGTCTTCATTGGGCAAATAGTGAAGTGAAGGAAAGAGCTGGTGAGCCTCCAGCAGTCGATACCTGCCTGTTAGGAAGTTAGGATGTTTCAGTTTTATATCCTCAGTGAGAAAGCACAAACTTTGAAAGAAGCAAACTTCCTTCAGGGAACTGAAACCTTCAGATTTATCTTCTATTGAAAGGATTAGTGACAAAATTCTACTGATCAAAAAGGCATTAGGCACCAATTCATCCAAGTCACTTCCTTATTGTGTGATCTTGCCCAGTCTCTGAAACTCAGAGCTCGGTTGTAATTGTTAAGTTTATTTAAAAACGTGATCAAACCACCCTTTAAACCCATTGTTTGCATAAACATACTTTTAAAAAGGAATGTTATTTTTCTTCTGAGAATTTGTTGAAGGAAGTGGGGGTTTTTGCTACAACAAACCTAGCTCATTATAGAACTGGTGTATTAACCTTCAAGACTGAATAGTGATGTTTATATTCTCATTGGATGGTGGTACTTCCTGCGTTTTATGAGAACATGCTGAGCTTTTATGCTGGTAACGGAGGGTAAAACCCAGGTAAATAAACACCATAGCCGAAATTGAAGGGGGTGTATGTGTGTGCGTGCGTGTGTATGTGTGTGTGCGTGCGGTATTTCAAGCAGGAAAGCACAATTCTTTTAAAGCAGGAAAAGACAAAACAAAACAAATGTCTCTTAAAAGCACAAATGGACAAGTCATTAACCAGCTCCTTTGGTCTTGTGTAACAAATCCCTTCAAAGGATTAGATGGGGACTTCAAAGGAATAAAAATTCTCAAAACCAGACAGCTAATGACTCTTAAAATGGCATTTGCGTTGACAGGAAAATGATATCTTAAACACCCCCTGCTCCCCATGTTAACACTAAAGAATGGGTTAGGGATAGAGAAATACTCCAAACTGGTACGAGGCTCAGAAAACAGATGCGGCCAATGCTCATTAGAGCCCTGGTTACCTGACCCCAAACCCTTTTGAGACTATGCTAAAAACTGAGACTCTGCTCCCCAGAAGAATTAACCTACACGCAAAATGGTGCACTAACTTTCGAGGTTCACAGGCCCCATCGGTGGACCCCGAGGAGGGGTACGCGTACTCAGATTTACTCCGGATTTCGCTGCTCTAGAAATCCCTGGAGGCCCAGAGCCAGCTCCGAGAAGGGCGGTCAGACCCCTCACCCGCCCGGTACCCGCGCTGCTGGCAGCGGCTCCACCTGCGGACCGGGAAGTCGGCCGTTGGGGACCCCGGAGGCCTCCACTTGGAATGTTCCCCTTTCCAAGACCAAATGGACAAAGAGAAAGGGCCGAGACTGAGCGAGAGGGGAGAAGGGAGCAGTGAAGCCCGAACGCTCTTCCGACTGCACCTGCGCGCCTCCGGGCTTCCCTGGCGCCTGCTCCCGTGCAAACTTTCTGGCCCGCGGTGGCTTTAGGGAGCGTCCCGGTAGCCTGGAGGGGCCCACAGAGGCGCCGGGCCGACCCCTCGCCCTCCCGCCCGCCTCCCAGTCCCTCTCCCAGGGCCCCCGGAGTTACCCACGAGGAAGGGGGGAGTCCCGCGTTCGGCACAGGGGACCAAGGGCACGCCGGGGCGCGCACCTGGAGCCCCCTCGCGGGCCGCCTGGGTCCCCCCCGCCGCCCCGGGGCGGGAGGCCATGGACACCGGGGGTGGCAGGGGCAGGGGCGCTGCACTTACTCTGAAGGGTCCAGGCTCTTCCTTTCGATGGCCGAGGACATTGGGGAGGGAGGCGGCGTGCCGGGCGGTGGGGGCGCTCCCTTTGTCGCGCGGGGCTGGCCGGCTGCCGGGGCTCGGACCCCCTCGGGTGCTCGGGCGCCGCCGCTCCTGCGCCTCCGCTTGCTCTGGCGCTCCGGCGGCGAGCTCGCCCCTCCGCGCTCAAGGACAGTCACCGCGCTCCCTTCAAACGCCAAAGAGAGAGAGCGAATCACCGGGCTGCGGGCGCGCGGCGGCCGAGGCGGGGGCCGGGGCGCGCAGCCTGGCCCCGGAAGGCTGCAGCTGCTGCTGCTGCTCAGGACTTAACCTTCCATCCCGGTCCCGCCGCCGCCGCCGCCGCCGCCGCCGCCGCCGCCCGGTCCCTCTCGCGCACTGTCGCCGGCTTCGCGCCGCCCACGGGATGGTGCGCGCCCGCCCGGCCGCCCCGAGCCCCTCGCACCTTCGGCCCGGGTCTCCGCGCGCAGCTCGCCGCAGAGGGCAGAGAGGGGGCGGCGGCCTGGGGGCGGGGAGGGGATCGTGCGTCTCTCCCCGGGCTTCCTCCTCTCTCGGGAAGGTCTATTTTCGCTCAGCTTCCCTCTGTCTCTGGTTTCATTTCCTTTTTCCTGATCACGATTCAAATACAATAGAAGGAAATCACATTTAAAGAGACAGCTGCCCGGTCCCCCCACCTCCCCTTTTTTCTTCCTTTTTTTTTTTTTTTTTTTAACGGGGCTCCTGGGGATTAGCAATACAAACAGCAGCATCAGGACTGACTTGGTTTCTTAAAGGGGCCAGTGTCGGGAACGGGGAGAGCCGCTCGGAGAACACCTCTCCTTGGAGAGGAGGCTGGGCAGCCACTAAATCATTCTTCAGAGCTTCCCCTCTTCCGCCTTTCCCTTTTAGTTTAACTGAGGCAGAAAGTAACCCACGAACAGTTCGATCAACCAAGAAAAGACAAGAATGAGAAATAAGCACCTACAGAAATGCAAGCGTTCCGAGTGGCTTTTGCGTCCGTCCTGGGTTCGAGGTCCCAGATCCACGGACCCGGTGCACCGGGCTGTCCCGGACCGCGCAGCTCTGCGGGCGGTGGGCTCCAGGCTGCGGCCGCACTCTGCAGAGGCGATGGGGCTGTGCGGGCCGGGACTGCTGGGGACGCCTGAGCAGAGCCAGGGCAGCTAATCCCAGAGGGAGGGTGGCGGGGAGGGACTACGCGGGGCCAGGGATCCTCTCAGTCGACTCGTGGCGGAATCCCCTCCCTCAGCATCTTTCAGAATGCGGACTAATGCAGTTAAACTGCCCCCATGTGTAGTGCCAGTGCCTGGGTGACAGAGTGAGACCCCGACCAAAGAAAGTGCTTTTCCAATGTTCAGGAACAGTATTGGGAGATTATTTTGCCCTGGGTCAGGCATAAAGAAGGGGATTTGATTTGGGGGTTCAGGCTTCCCCCCCATCCAGCCTCCTTCTAGAAAGAGGCAGGAAGCAGAGGGGAAGGAGAGGAGGCTAGTAGTCTGCCCTTCCATGGAGAAAAACTTTGGCTCCCCTGGGCCTCAGAGTTCCTTGAAAATATCTGCATTCAGGCCTATTTCGGTGTGATGCCCGTCATTAAGGCTTGCAAGGAGGGAACTGCCAAGTACTTTCAGGATCCATGGTTTTATATGATCAGTCTGGATCATAGGCATACTTATTTTGTTCCCATTTTAAAGATGGCACCACGGGCCTGGCTGAGCTCACCCTGAAAGGTGGTAGTTGAAGTCAGAAGTGAATCCCTGCATGCTTCATTTTCCCTGTTCAGAGCCAAAGCTTTATGGACCTGTCCAAGTATAACCAGAGTTTACCACTGCCTGCATGCTCTTGTCATTTTTTGCCCCTGTGTCCCAAGGCTTGGGTCTCTAATGGCTATAATTAAAAGCTCTGTGTGTGTGTGTGTGTGTGTGTGTGTGTGTGTGTGAAAGGAAGTTTAAGAGCACATTTTTGTCCAAGCAAAGTCTTCAGTATACAAAAAGACTATTTTTTTTTTTTTTTTGGTTGTGCTCAGTGGCTCATGCCTGTAATCACAGCACTTTGGTAGGCCCAGGCTAGCCTGAGCAACACAGTGAGACCCCATTTCTATTAAAAATAAAAATAATTAGCTGGGCGTGGTGGTGCTTGCTTCCTCAGGAACCTGAGGTACTAGGATTGCTTGAGCCCAGGAGGTGGAGGTTGCAGTGAGCCATGATTGCACCACCACACTCCAGTCTGGGGGTCAGAGGAAGACCCTGTCTCAAAAAACAAAAACAAAAACAAAAACCACTTTTTCCCTGATAGACCCTTATTTTTAATTTAAAAAAGAAAATTCCTAGAAATTTTAGACAAGCCTAAACTATGTGATAAAAATACAACCTACCACACTACTTTCATGGTTGTGATGAGCAATTCACCTACTTGTCAACAGTCAGTGTGGTGGCTAAATGCTGGAATTTTGGGACCCGGCTGCCTGGGTTTGATTTAGCCTCTTACTTACCAGCCAGCATGGCCTCGGAAAACGACTTAATCTGAGGAGGCAATATGCGGTGGTGGCTCTGGAGTCAGACTACCTGGATTCTAACCCACCTTTGACCACCTGTGTGAATGAACCTGAACCTGGGCTCCCAGCAGGAATTTAAACTCCCAGTATCCTGTAACCCCAGCACTGTGAGAGGCCAAGGCGTGTGGATCACTTGAGGTCAGGAGTTAGTGACCAGCCTGGACAACGTGGTGAAACCTCATCTCTACTGAAAGTACAAAAATTAGCTGGCTGTGGTGGTATATGCCCTTAATCCCAGCTACTCCGGAGGCTGAGGCAGAGGAATTGCTTGAACCCAGGAGGTGGAGGTTGCAGTGAGCCGAGATTGTGCCACTTCACTTCAGCTTGGGTGACAGAGTAAGACTCCATCTCCAATCAGTCAATAAACTCCCAGTATCCTCATCTGTAAAATGGAGATGACAGAACCTATTGCATAAGCTGTTGTGGGGATGATATGAGTTAATGCACAAAAGGGTGGCACGTAGATTTGTAATGGCCTTAGGCTAATAACAGATATGAGGTTGCTTGCAGGAAAAGCAACTGGTATATAGTAAGCACTCATAAATGGCAGCTGCTATAGTTTTAGCAAAGGGCATCATTAAGATAATTTTAAAAGAGCTTGAAATTAAATTTAAAGGTGAAATGAGGGTTTAAGATAAGAATTGCCCACCCAAATTTATAAACTATTTCCTGTTTTTTAAAAGCAGGAAACAGGATCCCTTCCGCTCATCTCTTTCTTCTCAATAAAACATGTTAACATTTTCCATTTGAATCTTCATTATCGTGGTGAGTGAGTGATCTGTTTGCATCTGCTTGTTTTTATTCAATCTGATAAATTACTACTTTCCTTGTTACAGTTTTGCATGGGGCTCAAGTCAGTTGTTAAAATAAATATATTCTTGGGTTCCAAGAGGTAACCTCAGAACAGCCAACTTCAGGGCATAAAGTTTCTTTTTAATAATGTGCTTCTACTTTGACCTGAGTGTGTAAGAAAAAGAGATTACTGCCTATGACTTTGGGTCAGGGTCTTATCTTTCACAACTCTTTGGGGAGAACTTCCTTAGAGAAGGTGAATATTTGAAATGGTATCTTAAGATTTCAATTTCACACACAGTGGTTGTAAGAAATAACTGCCTACCGGTGGGATTTCATTCCTATTCAACAGGCAATTAAATCGCTCAAATTTAAGTTTAACATTTAGAATCAAGTCTCAAAATGTGTTTTTATTATGAATAATTTTAAGGCAATTATGACCTTATTGTATCCTCCCAAAACAACTTGTACATGCCTTATGCAGAAGAGAGACTCAGAACTATGAGGTGATTGGAATATGTAAAATAGTTCTTTCAGAGTAGAGGAAATCTCTGTTTGATCCCTGCCAGTGGGACTGACATTTAATTCCGTTTCCCTTTTCCCCAGCTCCTTGGAAATCTTAAATATCCTAAAGTCTAGAAAATTTTCAAATTTTCCTTCCTGAAAAAGAATGCTAGAAGAAGAATAAATCAATCTACATGATGACTCTGACCCCAGATGAATCCCCACCCCCCAACCGTGGGCATTTTCTGTTCTTTTTGTTTATTACATTTACAATTGTTTTCTAGGGTAGAGCAGTTTCAGGTGACTAAGGCTACATTCCTTTGCTAAAATGGACTTCTGATAGAAATGAAAATGCAAATATAATTGAGAAAATCCCAACATTACGGTAATATACCTCTCTCTTTTTTTTTAACCATTAGAAGCAAAGTTGCAACATATGCTTTGTCACTTGTGACATTCATATACAAAAACATGACATTTTGTTTCTGAATGTGGCATTCAGGAACAAAAATGAAGATCTGTCTTAATAGCGTTTCAGCTCCCATGCAGAATTTTTTCAACTATTCAGTTGTCACAGGCATCTCACACTCAGACTCATTTCAGAACATTTAAGGACCAGCTGATAGATAAGTTTTCACAGAATGTTAGACCTATTAGTAACCTTAGTGTTAGATAAATGAGGTTTTCTATATAGTAAAGAGCCTAAAATACATCTTTTTACAAATCCCTATCAACTGAACCTTAGAATGAGCATGGAAGCTCAGCTGTTGCCTAGCTGTGTGATCTGGGGGAATTTACTTCACCTCTCTGAACCTGTTTCTGTACCTGTCAAATGGAGGATGGAGGCAATCGTAAAGTCAGCAGCGCCAGAACTAGGATGAGGTTGCTGGAGTGCCTGCTTGCCTCACCGGAGTTTTGAGAGGATTCAATAGGATATGTATAAAAATCCTTTGCACAGTGATGGTGTAGAGTAAATGGTCAGAAATGATAGCTGTTGGTATTACCCCATCTTTCAGAAGTAATCACCACTGTATTAGGAAGTAACAATCTCCCAACCAATCAGGACATCTGCCAAAGAGTGCTGAGACTGGGGTGCTGTAGAAAGAGCTGAAGTTCATCTAAGACCTCGGCAGGCCTCAGGCCAGAAATGCAGGACTGTGCCCATTTTGGGGCCTGGGTAAGCTGCTGACAGCTCCATTGCTTCTCTGCTACACTGACTGCTTCAGCCACATCCCTGGGTTCTTCATCAGATTTTCCCCCTTCCAACACCTTCCAAACCACCATTTACAGTTAATAAAAGAGGCAAAACAAAGCTCTGAAGGAGCTGCCCCCAAATGTCCCCATTCTTCATGAGGTCTTAGCAGAGTTAAGCTCATAATGTGTCCTAGCGGAAGGGGCCTGAGAAATGGGATTTCCTAGCTTGCTCATTGGAGCAATAGGAGTTTGAAAGCGCCTTCCTAGTGGGCTTCACCCACCCCGGTTCCCACTGTAGCAGTTCTGAGTTCATTGACCTTGAGCATGTCACCCAACTTCGCTGCATTTTAGCTTTCACATCTGTAAAGTGAGAATATTCAGAGTACCTGTCTCCTGGAGCTGTTCTAAGGATTCTGTGAAATAAAGCAGATCAGGTGATCAGAAAGTAAAGTGGCACATATTCAATAGGACATGTATAAATATCCTTTGCTTCTATGGAAGAGTTTGCTTATAGAAAGAGATTCTAACTTTAAAATGTTTGAGCTCCTGGCACCGTGGCTCACACCTGTAATCCCAACACTTTGGAAGGCCAAGGCAGGTGGATTGCCTAAGGTCAGGAGTTCGAGACCAACCTGGCCAACATGGTGAAACCCCATATGTACTAAAAATACAAAAAATAGCCAGGCAAGGCGACCAGTGCCTGTAATCCCAGCTACTTGGGAGGCTGAGGCAGGAAAATCGCTAGAACCTGAGAGGTGGAGGTTGCAGTGAGCTGAGATCACGCCATTCCACTCCAGCTTGGGTGACAAGAGTGAAACTCCATCTCAAAAAAAAAAAAGTTTAAGCACCCACTGATAATTCAAACCCTTTGATGGACAAGGCAATTGAGACATAGAGAGTCAATAACTCCTTCTTCTGCCCCAGGCCATCATCAAACCTTTCCCCACTTTCTCTCTCGGGTACCAAACCCTGGACTTTCTTTGCCACTTCAAGTTCAAGGTAGGAGTCAGAGCCAGGTGAACTGAGTTATGGAGCTGTCTTTGTGTTCTTTATTTATGCAGTCTCTCCCCTCTCTGTAGCTTCGCAGAGGTACCACACCTGAGT